AAACGGTGCCGGAGGCCGCTCTGGGCTCCTCTGGGCACCTCCCCCGGGGCCGGTTTTGTGAGGATGTCTCAAGCGAGGGCGCCGGTTTGGGATTCGTCACCGGATCCAGCGGATCCACCGGATCCACCGGATCTGTCCGGAAACGGTGCCGGAGGCCGCTCTGGGCTCCTCTGGGCACCTCCCCCGGGGCCGGTTTTGTGAGGATGTCTCAAGCGAGGGCGCCGGTTTGGGATTCGTCACCGGATCCAGCGGATCCAGCGGATCCACCGGATCTGTCCGGAAACGGTGCCGGAGGCCGCTCTGGGCTCCTCTGGGCACCTCCCCCGGGGCCGGTTTTGTGAGGATGTCTCAAGCGAGGGCGCCGGTTTGGGATTCGTCACCGGATCCAGCGGATCCAGCGGATCCGTCCGGAAACGGTGCCGGAGGCCGCTCTGGGCTCCTCTGGGCACCTCCCCCGGGGCCGGTTTTGTGAGGATGTCTCAAGCGAGGGCGCCGGTTTGGGATTCGTCACCGGATCCAGCGGATCCAGCCGGATCTGTCCGGAAACGGTGCCGGAGGCCGCTCTGGGCTCCTCTGGGCACCTCCCCCGGGGCCGGTTTTGTGAGGATGTCTCAAGCGAGGGCGCCGGTTTGGGATTCGTCACCGGATCCAGCGGATCCAGCGGATCCAGCGGATCTCCGTCCGGAAACGGTGCCGGAGGCCGCTCTGGGCTCCTCTGGGCACCCCCCCGGGGCCGGTTTTGTGAGGATGTCTCAGGCGAGGGCGCCGGTTTGGGATTCGTCACCGGATCCAGCGGATCCAGCGGATCTGTCCGGAAACGGTGCCGGAGGCCGCTCTGGGCTCCTCTGGGCACCTCCCCGGGGCCGGTTTTGTGAGGATGTCTCAAGCGAGGGCGCCGGTTTGGGATTCGGCCCGGATCTGCGGATCCAGCGGATCTGTCCGGAAACGGTGCCGGAGGCCGCTCTGGGCTCCTCTGGGCACCTCCCCCGGGGCCGGTTTTGTGAGGATGTCTCAAGCGAGGGCGCCGGTTTGGGATTCGTCACCGGATCCAGCGGATCCAGCGGATCTGTCCGGAAACGGTGCCGGAGGCCGCTCTGGACTCGTGCTCTTCGCGCCGGGGGTGAGGATGACGTGAGTTCCACAGAAACTCCCTCAAATGATCCTGAAGCCTGGGATTTGCAACAGTTTCACGGATGGAGGGCGGGTCGTTCTCGGAATGTGGATCTCGTTTCCGCGTTGCGCACATTCGTCTTGAAAGTTTAACACAGTTTCACAGATAGAGAGCGGGTCGTTAACAAAATGCGGTTCTCGCTTCAACGCCGCTCACATTCGCTGTCAAAGTTTGCAGCAGCTTCACGGACGGAGGGCGGTTTTTTTGAATATGCATCGCGTTCACCGCCGCGCACATTCGTTTTAAAAACTTGCAGCGGTTCCAGAGGTTCGCATGGTTGAAGTCCCAGGGATTGTGTTCTGGCACGGTTTAGGATTGGCAGGACACAACAGTCACGTTGATTCGCGGTGGCGAAGTCCCAGGAACTGTGTTCTGGCACGATTGGGGATTTTCCGGACGCATCAGTCACGTCGATTCACGGTGTTATAGTCCAAAGAGTGTGTTTTTGGTGCGATTGAGGTTTCTCCGACGGTTGTCTTCAGATGAGGCAATTCCCGCATTGAAGACATATTCTTGCAAGAGCGAACTTAGAGGGAGGGGTAATTGCAAAATCGTGGAGGTGTCTTGATTTTATACCTGTCCTCCTCCTCCTCCTCCTCCTCCTCCTCCTCCTCCTCCTCCTCCTCCTCCTCCTCCTCCTCCTCCTCCTCCTCTCTCGGCGGCCCTTTTTCGGAGGCCCGTAAAGCTCGAGCCTTGGAACAGCTTCGTAGGGCGTCCCCTGAGTGGAGCTCTTTTCAGATCGCCGACTCGCTCCTCTATTTAGGCTTTGTCTTGGGCCCTGGGGCCTCGCTTGCCTCTAACTGGGATGTGCCGTGGACTAAGATGATCTCCCGAGTTCGGGAGCTCGCGAAGACTGGTGCTGACGCTGCTTCCCTCCTCCGCCTCCACGCCACCAGGGTGGCCCCCTGCGCATCGTACATAGCTCAGTTCCTCCCCCTCCCATGGGCCCTCGGCCGCACTGAGCGCTTTTGGTTTTCGAGATATTGGAGATGTGCTGCCTCGGCCATGGGAACGTCAGATTGGTTCAGCCTCGAGGCCATCGGTGGCCCGAAAATTTCGGCCCTGGTTTCAACGTGTGCCGCTGCTCGGATGCGGCGCGCGCTTGTCACACTTCCGCGGTCCTGGCAGCCACTCTTGCGTCGTCTCAGACACGTGGCGGAGCACCACGGACCCCTCTCCGCCTTGAACTCCTCCTCCCTGTCCCTCAGCCCCTCATTCTGGAAGGTGGACGCCATTGCCGCCCTGATGGGCCACGCCGCCGAGGGCTTCCCTGGGACCCAGCGACCGCGTGAGGGGGGTGGGCCGTCCTGGGAGGCGGGTGGTCGTGAGGCTCTGCGGATGTTCGGTGCTGGATCCCTGGGAAATCGTCCGAAATCGCAGCGTGTGTTCGGCTCCATACTTCAAAAACAAGTTTTTGATTGCACGATCCTTGTGACGCTTGAACGTCGCCTCCAGAAGTGGTACGGAGAGCCCCCCCTGTCGCTCGATGAGGGGGGTTGGGAGCGGCTACAAACGCTGCTTGCCTCCCTCCCTAGTGCCTGGAGAATCTGCTTGCTGAAGACGTGGCTGGGAGCCTGGCCCACCAACTTACGCACGCAGCGGTGTGCTCAGTGTGTGCTGGGATGCGAAGATAGCCGCGATTCGGTCGACCACTATCTGGGGTCCTGTCGTCGGCTCCATTGGCTGGCCTCGCTGGCCTGCAGGACCCCGCTGCCAGCTAAGTGTAGATTCAGGCTCGGTCTCCTCGGGTCTCCTGCTTTCTGTGTTTATCTTTATCACTCGTACCGTCTGGCGGTGCACCGCGGGATCGGCTCTGACCCTGTCCGTGCTATGTCCATTATTCAGGCCATTCGAGTGTCGGTGCGCCTCCCAACAAGGGGGCGCCAGCGGCGGCTCCTCGACCCCCAGGCCCTCCACAACAGCGTGGTGGAGGCGCGAGGGGAGGAGTCTGAGTAGAGTGGGACGTGGGACTCCTTCGGCTACGCTCCACCTCCTCCTCCTCCTCCTCCTCCTCCTCCTCCTCCTCCTCCTCCTCCTCCTCCTCCTCCTCCTCCTCCTCCTCCTCCTCCTCCCCCTCCCCCTCCTGAGGCGGGCAGTGGCAGTGGGCGGTTTGGCTGCTCAGGAGAGCGGGAGAAGCGAACCTAGATTTGGGCGTCGTCGTTTATAGTGCTGGGATCAGCGCATGCGAAAAAGGCGGTGAGTGGCAGCATGCGCTGTCGCTGCTCAGGGAAATGAGAACAGCCAAAGTCGAGCCAGACGTCGTGGGTTACGGGGCCGGAATCAGCGCGTGCGAGAAAGGCGGCCAGTGGCAGCAAGCGGTGTCTCTACTTCGGGAGGCAGGCGACATGAGGCTGAAGCCGGACGCCGTGAACTACGGCGCCGCAGTCGCCGCGTGCGGGAAAGCTGCGCAGTGGCAGCAGGCCTTGTCGTTGCTGAGGGAAGGGAGCGTGACGTCGCTGGCGCCGAGCGTCGTCACGCACAACGCCGGAATCAGCGCGTGCGGGCGGGTCGGCCAGTGGCAGCAGGCGCTGTCGCTGCTCGGCGAGATGCAGGCAGTCGGCATGGAGCCCAGCCCCATCAGCTACAACGCCGTGGTCAGCGCGTGCGACAAGGGCGGGCAGTGGCAGCGTGCGCTGTCGGTGCTCCGGCAGATGCGGGGGCTGAGGGTGGAGCCGGACGCCGTGGGCTACACCGCGGGGCTCTGCGCGTGCGAGGCCGCGGGGCACTGGCGGCAGGCCCTGCTCCTGCTCGGGGAGATGGGCGAGGCGGAGGTGGAGGTGAGCGTCCTCACGTACAACATCGGAATCATGGCGTGCAAGAGGAGCGGGCAGTGGCAGCAGGCGCTGTCGTTTCTGAGGGAGATGTGCGAGGCGACGGCGGACCCGGACGTGTCCAGCTGCGCGGCGGCGGTCAGCACGTGCTGGAGAGGTTTGGGCCTCCCAGATGGGGTCGAAGTAGATGGCGTCGGAGGCTCGCACCGCATCGCCGATGCATCGCCGATTGCGGCTCGATGTGGGGCCCGATGTGCTTCACGTCGACGTCGCCGATGCACCGCCGACGTCGACGGTGCATCGCCGATGCATCACCGATGTATCGGCGCTGCGGCGCGAGCTTCCGACCCCATCTACTCCGACCCCATTTAGGAGGCCTCACAAAGGTGGACAAGAGCAGCAGGCATTGTCATTGTTCAGGGAGCTATGCGGAGAGGCGAACTCGAGGATGCGGCCAAACGCCATAAGCTACAGCGTTGGAATCGAGGCGTGCGCGGGGAGCGGCCAGTGGCAGCAGGCACTATCGCTGCTCAGTGAGATGGCGGAGCTGCAGCTGGAGCCGGACGTCGTCATCTACAACGCTGGAATCAGCGCGTGCCAACAAGGTTCGGCTAAGCGCAGAGGGGGGGAGGGGGAGGGGAGAGGGCCTCGTAGAAGCACCCCTGCTTCTTAGATGGCTCGGGCCTCGTCTGTAGATGTAAGGCCGGAGCCTTTTAAGGATCGGCCTCCTTCTGAGAAGCCTCTCCCCCTCCCCCTATCCCCCCTTGTGCGCGCTGCCAAGAGGTGGGCGATGGCAGCAGGCAGCGCCCCTGTTCGAGGAGGTGGGCGATGCGACCGCCGGTTGTCTGAGCATTGTCGAGCGGCGTTGACGGCCCAGGGCAGTGGATGGATGAGCTGCTGGCTGCCCGAGCGACGCCAGTCCAGGCGGACGAGGAAGGACTGACGGCGCGCTGCAAGAGGGTGGAACCTCCCGGCTCCGTCTAAGGCGGACCCCTGCCTTCTCACAAGGCCGCCCCCCTCGCGCCCATCCCCTGAGCGCGCCGCGAGGAGGAGGAGGAGGAGGAGGAGGAGGAGGAGGAGGAGTTTCACCCTTCAACGTCGGCCCCGTCTCCTTCGATCCCGCCCAACGGCATGCGGCCAACGGGCGGCAGCGACTGCAGCTGATGACCAAGAACCGCAGGAGCGCTCTTGGCCACGCCCGAGGAGGAGGAGGAGGAGAAGGAGGAGGAGGTGGAGGAGGAGGAGGAGGAGGCGGTAGGAGGAGAGGAGGAGGAGGCGGGAGGAGAAGGAGGAGGAGGAGGAGGAGCCGAGCCTGCATCGGCAAGAGTGTGCAGGCGGCTGCGGCACGTGCTCGACACGCAGTGCTCTGTCGCGTGGTACTTCTGGGCTCCGTACGAGATCCGACGATCCGAAGGTGAATTCGGTTGCTGCGATTAGCGTTCCTCCTCGGCTCCTCTCCTCTGCTCCTGCCTCTCCTCCTCCTCCTCCTCCTCCTCCTCCTCCTCCTCCTCCTCCTCCTCCTCCTCCTCCTCCTCCTCCTCCTCCTCCTCCTCCCTCCCTCCCTCCCTCCTTTCCTCACCTTCCCTCTCCTCATCCTCCTCAGCGTTATCATCCTACATCTCGTCGTCATCGCCCTCGTTGTCCTCCTTGTCCTCCCCCTCGTCCACCTCCTTTCTTCCTCACCCTCCCCTTCTTGACATTCCTCCTCCTCCTCCTCCTCCTCCTCCTCCTCCTCCTCCTCCTCCCCCTTGTTATCGTTATCATCAGCATCATCATCAGCAGCAGCACCATCACCACCACCTCCACCATCAAAATCACCATTATCAGAATATTCGTCGTCGTCCCCTTCATCCTCCCCCTCCTCCTCCTCCTCCTCCTCCTCGTCCTCCGCCATTCCTTGTCCTTATACATAACTTCTCCATGTCGCACCCCGAGGCCAATGTTTAGGGCGGGCCAGGCGTTTCGCCTGAGACGTCCTAACCAAGTATGACCCTGAAGCTTGACAATTGGCAACAGTTTCACAGATAGAGGGCGGGTAGTTTTCAAAATGTGGCTCTCGCTTTAGCGCCGCGCACATTCTTTTTAAACATGCGCAAGATGTTCACGGATTGAAGGCGGATAGTTTTCAGAATGTGGCCCTCGCCTCAGCGCCTTGCACATTCGTTTTAAACATGTACAGGAGTTTCACGGATTGAGGGCGGATGGTATTCAAAGTGTGGTTATCGCTTTAGCGCTGTGCACATTCCTTATCAAACTGTGCAAGAGCTTCACGGATTGAGGGCGGATGGTTTTCAAAATGTGGTTCTCGCCTTAGCGCCGCATGCATGCGTCTCAAGAGTTTCACGGATTGAAGGCGGATGGTTTTCAAAATGTGGTTCTCGCTTTAGCGCCGCGCACATTCGTTTTGGAAATGTGCAAGAGTTTCACGGCATCTCATGATCAAAGTACCAGAAATGTTGTTTTGGAACGATTCAGGGTTACGAGGTTGCAACAGTTACGTGGATTCGCGGTGTTGATGTCCCAGGAATTGCGTTATGGCGCGATTTAGGATCGTCAAGACGCAACAGTCAGGTTGATCCGTGAGGTTGGAATCCCGAGAACAATGTTTTGGCATGCTTCAGGGTCTTCAAAAGGTTGTCTTCCAACGAGGCTGTTCGCGTAGTGGAAGTGAACCGTTGTAGGGGCCTATGAAGAAGGAGCTTGGAGGAAGGGTTTATTCCAACATCGTTGATGACCCTTGGGTTTACAATGGTCCTCCTCCTCTTCTTCCCGCTCGCCATGCCCTCCTTATATTCGTCATCCTCATCTTTGTCCTACTACTTTTCCTCCTCTTCCTCCTCCTCCTCCTCCTCATCCTCCTTCTTCTGCTCACTCCATCATCCGCATCCTCCTCATCGTCATCCTCCTCCTTTCCCTCCCCCCCCCCCTCGCCCCAGTATCCTCGCCCTCCATGTCATCATCCCTGTCCTCTCCTTCCTCACCATCAGCAGTATCCTCATGATCGGTTTCGCCGTGATCATCTCCATCCTGCCCGTCCTCGTTGTCATCCTTATCAAAAATTACCCCATACAGTCGAGCATCTGATTAAGAAACCTCCTCCCGAAATGCTGGGCCAGCGTTTCTCGCCCAACTCGCCGGAGAGCTGGCCCAGTTTCTTGAGCACTTTCGCCCCTCCAGCTTTCACAACAGGAATAGGCCCAGGCGTGTTTTTAGAAACTTCTCGGAAGCTGGCCCAGATTTCTGACACGATCGTTTTCTTAGTCGCATCTTCGGCTGCATGGATACTACGTTCCTCACTCCCCCTAAGCCCTCCGAGGGCACCCAGCACCTGGACCTCCAGAAAGGAAGCAGACCAGGGCCTTGGGAGAAGAAGGCCCCAGGGAGTCCACGGCCTGCCTCTCTCGGGGGCCCCGCGCCCTTCCTCGGAAGCTGGAGCACATGCATAGGCAGCGGCGGGCTGTGTTCAATCCCAGGACTTCCTTGAGGGTCGCTTACAGAACCCAGAGGGTAGGCCTACCCTAGGCCTACCCCTAGGCCTACCCCCTGGGCCTAGGGGTAGGCCTAGGGGGTAGGCTTCCCCCCATAGGCCCTAGGGGTAGGCCTAGGGGGCAGGCCCTACCCTTAGGGCCTAGGGTAGGCTTCCCCCCCGGGTGCTATACCGAGGGTCGGGGACGACGTCGGGGTGGTGTGGCGCATACCCTTTTTCCCCGCTTCCCTGGAGCAGCGACGAGAAAGGTGTACACCAGGATCCCCCGTAGTTCTACACCAGAACACGCGCTCACCAGTGCGAATTCCAGTGCGGGGGCAAGAAGAAGCGTGGGTGTATAGAGTTCGGCTCCCAGACATGCGACGTCCAGATGTTTTCAGGACGGCGTCCCTGGAAGTCCCGACCCTTTCCCCGGGACCGGTGTTTCGTCCCGAGTCCTTGTTTGACGGTCCCGAGGCCCAGCGAGGGCCCCCCGAGGCCGCAAACTGGGAAAACCTTTTTGCCCTGATATCTCAACGACGCGATCATGTCTGGGCTCCTTCCTTCCTGCCAGGGTCGAGATCGCGCCGCGCCGAGGCCGGCAAGAGGGACCTCCGCGGCGCCCTGGTGGCGCTGGCGGAGGCCAGGCCCCCGTCGCAGCCGCCGCGCCGCCGGCCAGCGCCGCCCCTCGCTGGATGTCGGTAAGAGCTCCATCCTCCTTCCCTCCCTCCTCCCTCCCTCCCGCCCTCCCTCCCTCCTCCCTCCCTCCTCCCTCTCTCCCTCCTCCTTCCCTCCTCCCTCGTCCCTCCCTCCTCCCTCCCTCCCTCCTCCCTCCTCCATCCCTCCTCCCTGCTTCCTCCCTCCCTCCTCCCTCCCTCCTCCTCCCGTGTCCCTCCTCCCTCATCGCCCCCCTCCATCCTCCCTCCATCCCTCCCTCCTCGGAGGGACGCCAACACTGCACCACCACCACCACTTGGCATCGCTCGGACGTGTGCCTTTTTTCTCGTCGAGGACCATCTAGGAGCATCTGTGCTCACCCTGCGAGAAGAGTGCACGCCCGACGCCGACCAAGTGCACAAGGAGTGGACGCCCGAGCGGTGGCGAGACCAGCCCTGGCCAGGCCCCACTCCCAGGCTGGCTTCCGCCAGAAAGTAGCTCGTCGCAGTCCTAAGAGAAGCCCAGGTCCCGCAGGTCCCATGGGCCCCACGGGTCCCGCAGGTCGTACAGGCCGCGCAGGTCCCACAGGTCTCGCAAGTCCCACTGTTTCACAGGTCCCACTGGTCCCACATGTCTCACGAGCCTCGCTGGTCCTCACCTGTCCAAAAGGTTGCACACGTCCCACAGGTCATACGGGCCCGACAAGTCCCACAGGTCCCACAGGTCGGTCAAGTTCCACAGGTCCCACAGGCCCCACAGGCCCCACGGGTCCCGCAGGTCTCGCAGGCCCCACATGTCCCACGGGCACTACAGGTCGCCATTCAAATAAAAACTCTTGTCGGAACGCGCCCCAAGTTTTGGGGGTCGTCGCCCTAGTCGCCGTCGTCGTCCACCTGCCGCCAACAATGACGACGACGACGACGACGACGACGACGACCACGACGACGCCGACGACGACGACGACGACGACGACGACGACGACGACGACGACGACGGTGGCGGCGGCGGCGGCGGCGGCGGCGGCGGCGGCGACGGCGACGGCGACGGCGGCGGCGGCGGTGGCAGAGACCATGACGAAGACGACGGCGACAGCGCCTTCGCCGATGGTGAACGCAATGCCATCATCCCACTGCACTGCGCAGCTGCAGCAGCTGATTGACGCAGTCCGAAGAGGAACAGGAGGAGGAGGAGGAGGAGGAGAAGGAGGAGGAGGAGGAGGGGGAGGAGGAGGAGCGAGGGGAAGGAGGCGGGAAGGGGGACCACGACCACGACCACGACCACGACCACGACTACTACGACGACGACGACGACGATGACGACGACGACGACGGCGACGACGACGACGACGACGACGACGACGACGACGACGACGACGACGACGACGACGAGGTGCTCAGCCTGCGCTCTCCAGAGGCCTCCGAGGCCATCCGCGGGCCACCGGGATTGCGGGAGCTTCCGGAGGCCTCCGGGGCCCTGCGGTGGCCTCCGAGGGCTTCCCAGGGGCCTCCGGATGCCCTGGGGGGACGTCGGGAGGACGATCGACGGCCTCCGCGGGGCCTCCCACGGCCTCTGGAGAGCTTCCAGGTGCATCCGCAGGGTGCTCCAGAGAGCTCCGGGGGCTGCTGGAGGGCATCCGGGGGCATCCGGAGGGTCCGGACGCTCACGAGCACGCCGCGAGGCCCGTGGGGCCCTGCGCTGGGCTTCGCGGAGGGGTCCTTCCCACCCGAGGTCTTCCGCCAGGCCCGCGAGCTGTGGCCCTTCAGCGCGCTGCCAGAGGACGTCAACAGGACTGGCTCTGCCCGCGTGCGGGGGTCCTTCTGTGCATGTATCTCTCTCTCGTTCTCTCTCTCTCTCTCTCTCGCTCTTTCCCCCCCCTCTCTCTCCTTGGAGGACCAGGGAAGGAGGAGGAGGAGGAGAAGGAGGACGACGACGATG